CACACACACACACAAAGAAGCAATGGTCTCAAGATGGGTAGGTTGCTCAGTGCCTAGCAGGAACAAGGCCCCGGGTTCAATCCTTAGCTCCATACACAAACAAACAAAAAAAGCAATGTTCTGTCTAGACTGCCTGCTTACCTGTTCCCGAGTAGCCAGAGCTGTTTTTCCTGGGAAGTTTTTGCTACAGCCAATAGTCTTGGGTAGCTGCCTGGGTTTAACTGGATCATGTTCAATCCCTCGGCACATGGCATATAGCCAAGACCTAACAAACCAGCAAAAACACTTTTCAGGTGAAAGTAAATGATTATTCTTGTTACTTTACCCATATTACATGATCCTTTATACTTCTCATAACAAATGTGAAAAATGTATCTAAAATGAAAAGCATACCTGACCTAAAAACACCCCTGCCCTTCTCAAGTAAAAAATAAACCCAGTGCCAGAGCCTGACAAGGACAGCAACACTGTTGTTTTTTTGGTTTTGTTTTTGTTTTTGAGACAGACTCTCACTACGCAGTGCAGGCTGGCCTTGAACTTGCTTATGTAGCCCAAACTGGCCTCAAACTTACAGCAATCCTCCTGCCTCAGCCTCCCACGTGCTGGGATTGTAGACATGTGCCACCATACCTGGCTCTTCTGTTTTCTAAAGCTAACTAATCTGTATATTGGAAAAAGTACCCAGCAAGCCATCAGTTCATAGGCCCTAGGTTTTTTATTTTTCCCCCTTTTTTGGAACCTAATAAGGATTTTAAGAGAATATCAACAAATTAGCAGGGCTGGCCAGATAGCTCAGTGGATTAAAGCTCCCACTTAGGCAGACACAGGGACCGGGCTTCGATACCCGCTATGCTGGCACTGTCCCTGGGGCACACTGAGGCAGCAATTGAGACTGGGCATGGTGGCCTGTGCCTATAATCCCAGCTCTTGGGCACCTGAAAACAGGAGAATCACTGCGAGTCCGATTTGTGTAGTGAGACCCTGTAGGCCCTGTACTAAATATAAAAAACAAAACAAATTAGCACACATAAATGATGTAATAATACATACCCCCACTTCAAAGTTACAATTCCTCCTGACTCTCCCATACATGACAAAATGACTCCAGATGGAGAGGCTATGGTGACCAAATTTTTAAATTTTGCTTATTTAATTTTGCAGTGCTAGAGATCAAACCCAGGGTTCTAGCACTGAGCTATAGTGCCTAGTATTTTAAAATAAGAAAGACCAACCAGTGCAATTAGCTCAAAGAACAAATGTTAAAGATAGGTCTCAATTATACAGTATGCTTTTGTCTATATTTGAATGTAGCATTTCCATAAAGATTTTTTTTTTTTTTGAGACAGGGTCTCACTGTGCAGTTCAGGCCAGCCTTGTTGCCTTGTTCTTACTTTTGTAGCCTCCAGGCTGGTCTCGAACTTGCAGAGATCTTCCTGTCTCAAGCTCACAAGCTCACAGTGCTGGGATTACAGGCATGTGCCAGTTTTCATAAAGATTATGATTGAAAAATAGTATGAATCACTTACCCATTCTTCTCTCCAAAATGATTCTGAAGCTGGGATTCAGTGAACTGGGTCAATTCACCCATGTATTCCACACCTAGGACTTCAATGACAGAGGCTCCTAGCTTTCCTCCAAGACTTCGGCTGATAACAAAAGATACAAAGGCATTGTAAGTATCTAGTAATAGCAAACAGAAGACATGCTCAACTGTCAGTGGCTCTGCAGGAGGTACAAGAGGATACAAGTATGCACTAATGCTGTACACTCTTTTATCTGCTGAGAACTGAGATATTCTGGGAATTAGGACCCAGAAAAAAAATTAACAATTTCATATACCAAAGATCAGTCACCGATTACCTATCTAACCAACTGAATATAAAATTTTCAATTGTGTAAGACATACTATTCCATTTGAGGATTAAATTCTAGCAAGAACCTTTCTTTCCTCCTTACTAAGGCTATGGTTACGAGTCTTGAACCTGCTTTGTGGAAAACCCTGAACTTTGTCAGGTACCCATCTTGCCACGCTGCATCCACCACTCAATGCAGTGAGTGGAAACCAGTTTATGTCTAGTTCCCTATGTTTTCCCCTTTGTCCCCAACCATCTCTCAATCAGTGCTGTTTTATGATTCTTTTTTTTTTTTTTTTTGGCAGAACCAGGGATCGAACTCAGGCCCTTGGCCTTGCCAGGGAAGCGCTTTTTCCACTGAACCATCTCCCTGGCCCCTGTTTTATGATTCTTGACTGACACCACTTTATGCTAAAGTTCAAAACAAATTCCCATGTTGGTGTCATAAATCTCTTACATAACTTTCTTTTTTGTGTGAACTTTGGTAACTACCTGCACAGTTCACTTAACACATACTCATATGGAGTCCTGGAAAAGCATTTTTACATTTGGTGTGAACTGTCATATCTTGTCTAACAATATTTTATTTATTTATTTATTTATTTATTTACTGCAGAACTGGGGATTGAACTCAGGCCCTTGCATTTGCTAGGGAAGCGCTTATTCCACTGGGACATCTCCCCTGCCCCTCATTAGTCCTCTTTAAGAACACACAATAGGTAGGCACAACTGACTCATTTGATTGATTTCTTTTATGCCAATTCTGGGTGAAAACACCAGTACCACTAAAATAGATTTTTTTTAAAAAGCAGGAAAAAAAAAGTCTAGAGGAAAGCTAAACATATAGCTAAAACTCAGTTCATTTTTGAAGAATCAAGATTAAGTGTTTGCCACAGGTTTTCCACTATTAAAAATGCATTAAAAGAGCCAGGGAGACAGCTCAGAGGTCTAAGTGCCTGACTGGCATGCACAAGGTTCTGATTTCAACTCCCAGGCCACGAAGAAAGAAGAAAAAAAAAAAAGAATTAAGCAAAAAGTGTCATTGTGTTTCTAGTTCCTTTTTTTTTTTTTTTAAGGAACAAACTACAACCAGAGAGCATTTTCATGAGGATAGGAGTGCAACTAAGGTGCTCCCCAAATACTCACATTTTTTGAATAGGCATTTGGCTGAAGAGCTGTGGGACTGACCCATGAGAGACCAGGGTCTGGCGGTTGGGCTTGTTCAGTCCACAGGCCAGTTTTGCCAGGACCTGGAAGCATGAAAAATGTAAGAACCTCAGTAGAGTCAACCCACCTATACAGAGTAGATGAAAACACACCCAAAATGCATGCATGCAGCCTGCACAGGCACAGCCTAAGGGCTGTAACTAATTTTTTCCACATTAGAAACAAAATATAGGCCCAAAGACATATCTTCACAGTATCTTCAGTGGGAAACACAACCCACTATCAATATCCTTACTGCTCTTCCTCATCTTCCACCCTATTTCCCCCTAGAAATTTTTCCACTTCTATCTATTCCTTGAGATTGGGTCACCCACTTTAAGTTCACTTATTTATTTTAGACAGGGTCTTAAATGAAATTCAGGCTTGTCTTGAACTTACTGTGTGTAACTCGGCCCAGCCTTGAACTTGCAGCAATCCCCTGCTGCAGCAATCCCCTGCTACAGCCTCCTGAGTGCTGCGCTTATAGGCATGCAACACCATGTCTGGCCCAATTTAAGTTTAAAAAACAGGAACTGTAGAGAAACTCTTAAATTTGTTCTACTCTAAGTTACATTTAGCTCTGGGATCAAACCCAGGGCCTCCTTCCTACACAACAGGCCATACCATTAAGGCACATCTGCACCCCATATTTCCTGATGAAAGGTTAGTCTGCATTTAATACAGTACATCATAATCTCATATCTATGATAGCAATCAGGCTCAAAAATCTAGCTACAATAGCAAACATATTCCTATCTATCAACGACACTTAAGGCCAGTCTGCGTAATTTAAGGACTTAGTAAAATCTTCTCTTAAAAAATTTTAAAAAACATTGAGGAGTAGGGGATAAGCAAAAGTATATTTAGGCTACTCCACATAAGAAGTAAGATAAAGGCCGGCCAGATAGCTCAGTGGACTAAAGCACCTGCTTAGGCAGAGTGCAGCAGCTGGGGTTTGATCCCGAGTGCTGTGCCGGCCCTGCCCCCAGTGGCGCCTTACACCTGTAATCCCAGCGCTTGGGAGGCTGAAAACAGGAGAATCACTATGAGTCTGATCTACATAGTGAGACCCTGTACACCTTGTCCTAAATACATTTAAAAAAAAAAAAAAAAAAAGTAACATAATACAAAAGTATTGAGCAAGTGAAAAATAAAAAATACAAAGACCGGCCTCCTCCTTTCTGTGGACAGCTCAAGTCATTAAGGAAATACTTTGGATATTAAATATATATTTAAAAGTATTTTTGGCAAATTTTTAGGCTTTCTTAGCGAGGTTAGTTCCTGTTAAAATATTACTTAAGCTTTTATTTGGGCTTCAATATAAACTTTAGGGATAGAGAGATGGCTCAGGAGAATAAGTGCTTGCCTGGCAAGTGCAAGGGTCTGAGCTCAATCCCCAGTTACACACAAAAAAATAAACAAATAAAAAAAATAACTTTAGAAGGATTTTTTTTTGGGGGGGGGGCTGGCTCAAGATGCCTTAAGGGCAGGTCTGGTAAGGCACGAGGATCTGGGGATTCAACCACAGAATCCTGAGCCTAACTGCTTTGCTTAAGCAGGCACTTAAACAACTGAGCTAATGGGCCGGTCCCCAATATAAACTTTAAATAAAAATCCACTTCAAAGTATATGAGTCTCACTGTATAGTTCTGGCTGGCCATAAATACAAAATCTTCCTGCTATAGCTTCTTAAATGCTGGGATTACAGGCATGTGCCGATATGTTAGGCTTTATATGGGTAATAATTTAAATACTGCACTCATGTCTCTTTGCTGTATTTGACTAAAGATGTCCATCTTCCTCTTGGAAATCTATGTTTAGGCTTCACCTTATTGTGTGAAATTCCAGCTGAACACTGAAATCCAGTCTTCCTTTCAATGGCTGCTCTCATTTCCTCCACAATCACTGCCCCCACGGTGAGCTGCAGGTCTGGAGAAGCGGTGTTATCAATCTGAAGAGAACTGAGCCACTCGCGTAAGCCTAGTTTACGTATCTCTTCTGAAAAAAAGTTGAGAAGTCACACTTAGACATTTAATCACTACTTTCAGTCTTGAGTCATATAGATCACAACAGACTACACAAGCTGGATGTGATGGCACATGCGTGTGATTTCAGCATTTCAGACTTGGGCTTTTCTTAGTTGGGAGGCCAAGGCAGGAAGAATGGGAGTTGCAGACCAACTTGGGCTATATAGTGACTCTCTTAAAAAAAAAAAAAAAAGACTGCACATGTGATGGTACGTTCTGCACAGCTATATGATCTAGGTTCATGGAAGTGCACTCTGTGATGTACACACAATGACCAATCACCTGAAGATGCATTTCTCAGAACATATTACCAGTGTTAAACAGTGCATCACTGTAGCTGTGCTGTCTCATATAGAAATACTTGGATTTCAGGTACTTTTTTTCTTTTGGGTACCAGGGATCTTGCTAGGCAGGTGCTGTGCCACTGAGCTAAATTCCAAGCCTTCAGGTACTTTAGATATTTGTTTTCTTAAGACATACCAACAGGAGGTAGTGAATGAAGGCAGCAGTCAGGAAAAGGCGTTGCAGCACTGTCCTGCTACAATACTGTATATGGTTAGGTTTCTAAACTTCTGTGTAAAAATATGTAATTGTTTATTCCTATTTTTAAAATATATTTTAATTTTTTCTTCATATTCTGTAGGGACTTAAAGTTTAACATATCAATACTTGAAAAATACCTGTTCCATGTTATGCCTAAAATGTTTGATATTCAGACAGATAGTGGTTAAGCTCAACTGTGTGGGTTGTAGGGTAATAACAATATGCTTCTCTTCTGAGGGTTAACAACCTAAGTTTGCAAACCAAAAATTAGAGAAAAAGGAGGGCTGCAAGGAAAGCCAACATTTTGGCCCTAGGCTTTCAAGGTCAGTGAAGACTCAGGACACAGGAGAACCTGTACTGCAACATCATGTAACTCAGTTGTGTCCCAAATTTTCTGATCAAGGAGATTATGGAGCCACAGAGAAAAGTGATTGATGATGTAGAGTGCGCCTAA